AAAAGCTATTGTAGATATAGACTAGTAGAGAAAAACGGAAACAAAACAAAAATAATTTACTTATTAATAAGAGATCAACAAAAAGTTGGCAATGTCTGTTATTTTCTATATATGACTACAAAGTTCTATGTTTTACAAAACCGGTTAACAAATTTTGTAGACAAACTTTGAATATTAAAGAAACTGGCATGAAAATCCCAGGTCTGAATGAAATGTCCACTTCTTGCTTTTCTTCGACAAAAAAAAACGTTCGTTCTGTGTATCATTAAAGCACACATAAACATCTTTGCATTTTGCAGCTGATATATTCGAAGTGTAGCAATAAATGCGACTTATACCATACGTGGACGCAGCAGTTCGTTTATATTTCAACACGAACATATTTTCTTATATCAATATGCTTGATTTACCGCGTTTAAATGATGTTTAAGTTTTCGATAATCTTTTATACATGTATATATTAAGCAATGCCATACATATATTTAATGTATTTTTTAAGATGACTCTTATTTCGAAAATAAACACTTCTGAAAATGCTGCATACTACAAGGAAATGTAAAAAGAAAGAAATTAGAAAAGAATAACAAGTACTACGTTAAAAATTTGGAAAAATATAAAACAAAAAAAGTTATTGAATACAGTCAAACCACAAATACAATTACAATAAGGAATCAAAGATTGAAAATCAAAGAAAAAAGTGTGAACGCGAGAAATTACCAAAGGACGTAATTGACAATCTACAAACATTTATAAGTACATCAAAATCTAAAAGAAGTGACGATGCCAGAATGACAATGAATATTTTAACTACGTCCATAAGTGGAGAGGATATAAGTTTTTCTCCCGCCTAAGCGTCCTTTGGTATTTTGTCGCGTTCACACTTTTTTCTTTGATTTTCAATCTTTGATTCCTTATTGTAATCTAAATTGTTTTAAATGCCCACATAAAGTCTTCGCCTGTAATGAATTCGCTTAAAAAGAAATTGAAAGCAAACTCCGAATTGAAACTGTAAGGAAAGTAATTGACAATCTACAAACATTTATAAAGTACATCAAAATCTAGAAAAGAAGTAACGATGCCAGAATGACAATGAATATTTTAACTGCGTCCGTAAGTAGAGAGGATATAAGTGACACTGTGTCAAACAGAAACATAGCCAAAACTTTGGTATTAAAACCTAGGAGATTTGTTTGGAGGAAGACGAATAAGAACACATGTTTTAAAAACAGAAAAAATCTTGTTTTGATATAACTCAGAAGAAAAACTAGAAGTGATGCAGTTTCGGACGATGTTAAGAAAACTGTGTTTGAATTTTGGTGTTCACCCTCTATTTCAAGAACTTCATACAATAAGAAAGATATTAAAAGAATGCGAATTTCACCCAAAACATTCTCATCGCATCAGATACAGATTTTTTTAGAAAAAAATCAAACGAAACTGTTTCTAAAATTTAAAATAAAGTATCCCGAAGTCAAAATAAGTCAGCGCTTATTTGAAAAATTATAAACCTTTCTTTGTGTTACCAGTGCGGCCTAAAGACCAGTGTATATGTTGCTGTCGCCAGCATGTTGAAATCCGATTTTTGCTTAAGCAGTGCATGCAATTTCGAAGATCTACTTTTAAAAGAACACTCATATCACATCTTCTTATATCTATAAATCAAATGATGTTTGAAATAATTATCCTATGTTTGAGCACATCAGCGATGTATATAGTCAGACTCTGTGTCCGAAAAATACAAATTAATATTTTAATGAATTACAGTGTCTGATAAAAGAGTGTGACAAGTGTGGGGATTCTTAAATTAAATACTTACCAGAAAAATTAGATATGACTGAAGAATCCGTAAATGTAAAGTGGGAACGGTTCAAATATGTCAACATTTCAGGAAAAGGGTGGGAAAATTTGTTAATAATTACAATTTGTTTCATAGGAAACAAAACCAGGAATAATGTTTCAGTATTTTCAAAACTTACTCATTGATTTTTCTTCTCACCAACATCGAGCGAATTGGCAGAGTACACAATTCAAAAGTTTTTTAGATGATTTACCTATTAACCATGCAATATGTGTCCACGACTACGCGGAAAATTACAGATGTTCAGACCACCGCGAAATTCAATCTAGTTATTTAAAAAAAAAACTGGAGTAATCAATCACGTGACAACATGCAGTACTTGAAAAAGATGGAATAGACAGTTCTGTGAATCTGAACATAATTTGTGAACTCTTTTTTGTAATCAGTCCAGATCTGCAACACGATCGAAGTTTCACACAAAGCTGTCAAAAATAAATATCTGACTACCTGAAATCATTTTCGGCGAGTGCCTCTTTCATGCACGAATGGGCCGATGGTTGTTCAGCCCAATAAAAAGGTAGATTTTGCATGGGAGATGTCAGTAATAATACTCTTGGTTACAAAACACTTAAACGTAATTTTTACAAAACTTCACACGCCAAAGGTCCAGCGACTCTTTTCACAAAAAATCTTACGATTAAAATTGATCGTAAGTTATACTGAAATGTGTATGACTTACGAGTATTTTTACTCTTAAGATTTTTTGTGAAAAGGGCTGCAGATCTTAAAAAACCAGGCAGATATCGCTGTTCTCGAGCGAAATTCTAAAATTCAGTGTGCTAAGGACTTTTATGACTCTTGTTAAAATCGTCTTCAAACACCGAAATCCTGAGTATATAATTGCCGTATATTTGAATATACAGAGAATATTCGGCGCGATGATAATGCTGATTACAAAACTATTACAAATAATAGAAAAATTCATCAAATTGTATCACATAACACATCACCAGGAGACCTGATCACGAATCATCTTTCTTGTTATGAATGTGAAGACTGTGTGAAAGGAAATATCACTAACTGTTTTAACCGGAGATTTTAGATTAATTAGAATGAAATAAAGAAATTCCTGGCTACTGAACCAACTGATCACGAAGAAGACTTTGTTGAGGTATCACACCTTATTGATATCGGTTCGGTTGTAGCTGTTCTAGCAGATGACCCAGACTATGAATTTTATGTTATGAAAGTAACCCGAAAACCTTTTGTTCTAGAACATAAACGTAGTGATGTATGGGGTGGTACTTTTCAAACCGATGCGGAAGTTGTAGAAGGTTTATACTATGACAAGTGTAAAAACACTCCACTTTTATACAAACTTATCACAAGAAAACCCGCATTCGTTTATACAAAGGCAGTGCGTTACATTTGTGTAGAACTAAATCAAAGCAAAACCATTGCCATACCTGAACATTTTAATTTAGATGTAATTAAGAGTTAAGAAATGTAATTTATTCTGGAAAACGGCACCTTTTGTATCGTTACGTTACGAAGTAATGTGCGTTCATTTTGGGCGTGATGTACAAGTACGCAGCCACGTTCGGTCAGAATGGGGACGTTACATCCGATGCCTCGTGTAAAGAGAGCGCCACACTATTTGCACGTTAAGAACCATTGCAACAGCTCTTTGAGGGTTTGTAGATGGTTGCAAGGCTAAATTTCTGTCCCTATCCAATATACATTGTGTGTACCCTCCTTTTCCCGTGACGGTCCAAATTTACAGACCTTCATCCCGGACGGCATCTATTACAGGACTTACATATTGTATTTATTGTTAATTTGTCCTCGTCCTGAATATACATGAAATATTTGCCACTGGAAGTTGAGCAACCAACAAACAATCAATCAATCACGTCCAGTCGGAATGTAGTAATTTTATCCAACGTACACCTCGCGTGGACGTAGTTGATTTACTACACATTACCCGCTTTCCGGTAGACCAACTTTGAAGACAATACATGCCACCGGAAAATCAGTCCATCTTATTGATTTTCAAATGATATTATTAATTCAAGCTGTCATAATACGCAGAATTTGGTGGGACAAACTCTGTTTCTAATATGGTATAAGTTACTCGTTTTCTGGCAGACCTATTTGCTTTGAGGAACTCTCGCGTCGAAATTGATAAACCTCAAACAAATGAAATCAAATATAGAATATTTTATTATTAATAGCTTGTTTATTGAAATGATGACAATACATGAAAAATACACTTCATATATCACAAATGTATTTTACACAGTGCATCGTCCACAATAGGGAAATGCACTTTCGGCCTGTACATGTCCGACTTTATTATGATAATCATTCCCGTAGTTTGCATGGCACTATGACTACATATATTCGATTATCTGTAGTTTCAAGTTGCTTGTAATATCAAATATCAATAGAATCGTTATGTGGCACCAAACACAAAACTGCTGCCTTTGCGTATGTATTATATCTTAAAATATAGATTCATTGTTCTTTCCATCGGCAATGTTAAAAATGAGTTCCGTAAAGCCAACGTTCTAATATCGGTTCATGATTTTCTTCACACGCGTTATATCAAGAGGATTTTTTCAATATCTGTAGCTGAACTTTTTGAAACTTATTTGTTTGTATAATAATGTGGTCAAAATAATTTATGATATAGATACAACGGTATCAAACACTTTTTTTAATTTATAAAACAGATCTTCAAACAATTACATAAGATACGTGATATTTCAACGTTATTCTTTATCACATCTACTGTACAAATTGAAACATTCCAACATTTTCACCACATTTATTTCTCTCTTTCCGAATCACGTCTGAATAATGTGGTTAGAGAATAACAAATATATAATGTAAATAATTCAAGCGACCACTCTAATAACTCAGCTACCAAGCTATTAGCGCCAAATGTAGAGAAAAATCGTGCAACGGCTTTATACGTCACGACAGGTCCTTCCTGTTACAACTTTCGTGAAAAGGTAATTGCAATTGGTGTCTATTCAAGCTATACTTTTCCATTCTGTTTGCAAACGTCATCAGCTTCTAGAACAACTTCGACTGTAGTTTCTGCGATGCCGTTGTGATGTATGAATAACAGAATAGCACACATTATAACTCCTATTATATAAAAACATCCAGTCATCAAGAATGGGTAAATGTATGATCCCGTCATATCATATATAAAACCTAGAATTAAAATGTTCAACGATTAAAACCAATCAATTCAGATTATAGACTTTTTTCATTGTACTGACTTTTTACATCGGAGTATATAATTTTCTACAGGTTACCTTTAACGAAGCAGGACATACTGGTACTCGCTCAAGTAGGATCAACTTAAGAAAGTGAATCAAGCTTACAATCGGTGCAATTTGGGGCGAAATTGACTGTTTTCAAATGATTTTGTCGTGTTAAAAAAACATAAAACTGTTATTTTCCCCCAAAATGCACCAATTGAAAGCTTAGTTTTACTTTCTTTAGTTGTTTTTACTTGACAGAGTACCATAATGCCCTACCATAGAGTAGGTAACCTGTTGAAAAATTATATATTTCAGAGTTAAGTCGTTAATATGAAAATATTAGTATAATGCGAAATACTGTTTAAAGGGGCATTAGCTGTCAAATTAATGTTCACCAATTTGACTCGAATTCTCATACTAGTATTTGATTTATAACATACTAAAACGTATATCCAAATTACAAAAGTCTAAAATAAGCAATTAACAATGCATAGACTCGATAATATGTATCAACATTTCGTGTGTATTTTTGTCTAGACGTCATCTAATTAACCATCGAGATGACCTCCGAAGACTGCCGAAGGTCATATAACCCAATATAAATATAAATAGTTTGCGACCACGTGCTATTGTATTTTTCTATGTCTGTTTGATTTCATATTGTAGGTTAAAAAGTATGTTTATCATCGTTTTACCTGCATAAGAATGATTTTCTTGTGGATCGAATCAGTCAACCGAATGGTTCATCCTTGTTTCACTTTCAATGTTGACATTCTTTTCCTTTTAATTGCTGAATACATGCATAACCCATCTCAAGCTAAGGGGTTAAATTGAAGGTCACATGAATACGGATTCAATGAGGTCGAATTATTCACTTGCAATTGAATAATTCATCAGCGATGTTTCTTAGCTAATTTTGACAACATTGAACCAAATTGGCTGCTAAAAGCGAATTTTTATTTTCTTTATTTCACTTTCATTAATGATTGAACAAAAATAAATCATATTTTAAATTTTTATATATCTCGTAGCTAATGCCCCTTTAAGATACAGGCTATTAAATGGAAGCGCCTGTTTCCCCTGAACCCCTTTTACAGGCTTTAAGAAGTTATTGAAACCAGATTAACCATTGGTAAAGTTTAAGTTATCGCTTCGAAAGTTTTACGAACGCCATCATGGCTTGGTCGACTGTTATGCCGTATCTGTGTCTCAGATAACCATGAACGCGTTCCACTTGTAGCCAAAAACAATCCTTCTCTATTTTTTAATACAAAGAATAGATAAATAAGACACTCCTAACCAAAACTTGATGGATTTTGATTGGCCCTTTTATATATTTTAGAATTCATGTATTTCAAGGTTAATGTCCATTTTAGTATAATATAAGTGTCATACCATATGTCATTCATCACAAGACTAGTATTCTGAAAGTATCAACATATTGGACTTTGTGTTTGACATAATTAAAAAGTTCAATGATTGTTGGTGCCCTTTTTCAAGTGAAATCGAAATATATTATACTAAACCCTTTAATATCTGCAGAGTACTCTATAGAATCAACTTGTGTCTAATTAACTTGGAGTAGATCAAATTTGAGTTATTTCCATATGATAAAAGTTAAATTAAAGTGTTAAACCCTAATCTGGTCTATAAAAAGCGTTATCAATAATTTTAAATCAACCGACAATATTATTACATATTCTAAGCTGTAAAATGTTGGTCAACCGACAGCGTTCCCCATGCCAAGGGTGACTGGAGACTAGAAATATGATCACTTTTGTCTTCTTCCGACCGGCGGTAAAACCCTCGCCAAAGTGGGGCGTCGGTTTTGATGTGCGAGTGCATCCACGTCCGGTCAGAATAGGGACGTTAAATCCGATGCCTTGTGTAGAGAGAGTGCCAAGCTCTCTGCACGTTAAGAACTTTTGCAACGTCTCTTTTAGGGTTCCGTAAGTGGCCTGTTGCAAGGCCAAATTTCTGTCCCTATCCAATAAACCCTCATTTTTCCAATGGCAGTCGAAATTTCCCCGACCTTATCCCGGACGGCCTCGATTACAAGACATACCTATTGTATTTATTGTTAACTTGTTCTCGTCCTGAACATGCATGAAATACTTGCAACTGGAAAAGAAGAAACCAACAATCAATCAATCAACCGATCAACGGGGTTTCCTGACAGCCCTCATCGGTACTCTGCGGCTGGACATGAATGGCAAAACAACTGCATGAAAATAATCGCTCTTGTCCGCTAGACCCAATACAACTAATAAAAATATGGCTTTAATAATTTGAGTGTATATGCAATTGGCATACAAATTTATACGCCTGGTATCTTTAACATTGTAACTAAAAAAAATGCCGTACACAATTGAGGATTTTATAGTGGTGTTTAGGAGCACTGTTGGCTATATCCTGGTGGTCAGTTTTTTTTTATAGAAGAAGCCGGAGAGTGTTGACAGGCTAGTTATTCTGTACTACTTAGACAACTCGGCCACCGATGTTCATGGAAACCATACACTATGCTGCCTTGTGTTGTTTATTGTTTTAATACCATCAATAATTACCTGCTAAAGGTGGATCGACAATAAAAGTTAATCCTTGGAAAAATGCAATGATTCCAAATGCTACTGTCAGTTGATCAATTCCAAGAATATCTGCAATCAGGATTGTACGCAGACAAACTACTGTACCTGGAAAGTTAAAATATGATAACAAATCGACATTCTTATCATCAAAATCTATATATTTTAGATATGACTACACCTAAATTTCATGTTTTAAGAGTCCGTCATAATATTTTTTTATATTTCAATATTTAGTTTATTATATAAGACATGCCTGCCAAAAAGTATTTATTTGCTTTCATCATATTGTTTTACGTGAATTATTTCGTCCCAAAATATATTGAGTAACATTATGTTTTTTCGTCCTGATTCATACAGATTTCAATACTGATATGCCTAGTGGAACCATGATAAGACACAATTCATTGATATAATCGTTCAATTCAATTTCCTTCTTCTATAATTGGATACCCAATAAACGTTGCTCATGTAAAAAAAAACAAATTGGACAGTGGTTTTTACCACCAAGGCTATTTATAATAAAATAGAAGTTCATTTCTCCTTTTTTTCGGCAGTAATCTTGTTTTTAGGAATGCTGAAATAATTGTCTTTCTAACTATCGAAATTAACAAACATGTATTAAATAGTTTAGAGGTTAAAGGAAACAAACATGTTATGTTTCCTGCTCAAATAGGATACTTCTATTTTTTAATCTCTGGTGCATTATTTAGCAGGATATCGCCATCTTCATAATCTTGTCTTTAATATTCTATTAATTGAATTTTCATGTATAATATGAACATTTCTTTATTTATAGAAGAAAATTAATCAGAATTTTATTAGTGATTTTATTTTTATACATATAAAGAATAATACGCAACGAAGTCACCTTTAAAATGGTAATGAAAACATCTTCAGGGCTAATACTAGCTACTACAAACAGGAACCCATAGACATTTCGTCCCCGCGGATACATGTACACCAGTCCAGTGTTGACGTATAATATCATTGATATGGTCATTTTCTGCTTTAAAAATCTTGAACCGTTCGAAAAATTATGATTTTCTACCCCAGCCACAGACGAACTTAACTATATTTGGCAATATATATTTTTCGAATATTTGGCTTGCAATGCTCTTCAAGTTCGTGTTTGATTTAACATTTAAAAAATATTTTATTCGGGCGCCACTGATGAGTCTTGTGTAGACGAAACGTGCGTCGGCCGTGACAAATTATAAGCTTTGCATGCGAGATGGGTTTTTTGACAAACAAATATTGCGTATATCATGTATATTAAAGAACAGTTTTGTAGTAAAAAAACTGTAGTTTACTGTTCAGCGTCGAAAATATTCTATGAAACATGCACCGCTTACATCGTCACCAAAATGTAAGTACGAACGATAATCATGCAGTCCACTTCTTTATCATATGAACATATTTAACATATATGAATATTATTGTGTCTGCATGCATGTTTTTTTTTTTATGTTCTGCGGGTGTCTACGTTTCATTCAAAGCTAAGAAGTGATACATTTAAACATTTCGTCACTAGGTCTAATGATAAATATCAATAAGCCTCGGAACAGGCACACGTTTTACAATCTCATGATTTTCAGGATGAAATTACCTCTTTATTCTGTCCGCGAAACTTACCCCTACCTATCCACCCCTGTTTCTGGTGACCTAGGTAGCGAACCTGATAAAAAAATAAAACATAGTTGCGAAAATACTGATTTCTTACCCGTGTCATGCAACATGGAAAGGAAGAGAGAGAGAAAAGACATTAGAAGAAAGAATAAAGAAATCGGATAGAAGATTTAAATAGAACATTCACAACATGGTGATATTTTTTTTAAATTTCGGGTGACAATGTGATAATAAAATCATAATACATTCAATTTTACTGTTATCGTATTCATAACACGTTAAAATATGTTATGGTTGAAACAATCAGTTTATAGAGGTAATGGTTTGTGATTAAACAAATCTTACTACCACTAATGGATAGTATTAAAAATCTGAAAATACATGAAATTCAAAGAACATGTATAAATTGCATCATGTTAGTCAAAATGGCAAAGCGGTTTTTTAAATGCACTCCCGTCTAAACTTTCCAACTTATTTACATTTCATGTTAAGAAATACGATTCCTTTTCAAATTTGTATCCTGGTTTTTACTTTTCTTATTTCATCAATGCATTTTCTATGCTTATTATATTTAAATCAAAACCTAAATAAAAATAAGTATATTAATTTCTTTATATCATTTACTCGAAATAGACATATATCTTTAAAAATTTCAATTTCATCTCGGGGAAAAGATATAAGGCCACCTTTAAGGGCCCTTAAATTCGAAATTCATAAAGTATTATAAATCTACCAAATGATATCCTTCAGATGCTCATAAAACATTAGTCTGTCGGACATCAGAGTTTACATTTTTGAATGTTGCCTTAAAATATTGGATGGCGTCAAATTCTAATATTTAGTGCAAAACTGCATGAACTGCAAAAATAGTCCCATTATGAGATCTTGTCATGAATATTTAGATACGGGCAACAGATTTACCCTTAGAGATATTTTGCTACAAAAAAAGATTTACCCTCAGAGATATTTTGCTACAAAAAAAGATTTACCCTCAGAGATATTTTGCTACAAAAAAAGATTTACCCTTAGAGATATTTTGCTACAAAAAAAGATTTACCCTTAGAGATATTTTGCTACAAAAAAAGATTTACCCTCAGAGATATTTTGCTACAAAAAAAGATTTACCCTTAGAGATATTTTGCTACAAAAAAAGATTTACCCTTAGAGATATTTTGCTACAAAAAAGAGTTACCCTAAAAGAAATATATTTTACAAAGATGTGTTATAATGTGTGTAAATATATTTTGAATAAAGCTATTGCTTTTATAAATTTTGATGAAAAACTATGCGTGAAATGACCATTTAAAAAGTTCAAATACGTAAATTTCGACAAATTTATGACGTCACAATATAGTGACATCACAGGAGACCTTTCTATAGTAAAGTGTTCAGATTATATATACCATTTATGAAGAAAATATAGTTTAGACAGGCAATTTCAGTCACCAAATAATTGCTTTTTTCACATCTCCTAGCTTTCAAACAAAGGGCAGTGAAGGTCCCCGTAATCGCTAACCTTATACATAAGAGGTCCAATATTGGCTGTGTCTTTGATTTGCACGAATAAATTCTAGGAATATAAAATAAGGAGATGTGGTATGATTGTCAATGAGACAATTATATATATATATACATGTTTTATTTTGCTCGACATATATATATATATATATATATATATATATAAATAATTGTAGCCCAAGTGATTTAAAAGTTCTATTTATCACTTTATGTGATTATTTTTTTTTACCAATTGCTCATATATCCCAAACATGCATAATCAAATTTAAAATGGCAATATGTATTACTTTTTTAAAATAATTTTACTTGACTCATTACATTTTTTTTCTCAAAAATATACTTTACCGTTCCGATCATCCTGAACGACTCAATCTTAACAAAGACCTGTTGAAAACTATGATGGTATTGTTTTAACAATTGGAGTCTATTTCATGCTATATAAAAACTGTTTCAATCAACCAGCGCGAATGACAAATAGCAAACTTTGTCAATTAAAGAATTGTTCTTGCAATATTTAGTTTTATATGGTGCAGAACATAACAGACTTCTCAATGCGCGGACGTAAACTTATAACATTGGTAAACTTCATATGAACCTTCAGTGCAGTTAAGCTGCATGAGAGTAATTGATTTAACCTGCAAACATTTAATACATAGACCCTTCAGTCATACATGCACTTATAAAGAGTTATGTTTGCAGGTGTGAAATAAAGCTGGAATGAACCTGATGTGTGTTGTATATTGCAATATTGTAGTGGTTTTCGTTAGTTGTAAAGTCATTGAGAAGGATTGTTTGAAGGATACAATTGATACATTAATACATTAATGCGTTCCTGATGAAGGTAAATCAAGAAAAACGCTTCAGACGCATGACAAATTGCTACATGTAATTTATTGAGTCTGAAAAAAAAACTTAACTAGACTTTTTAGTGCTTGGCAAACCTTCTAGCTAGTAATGTTTCCATCTTTACAAACATTCTTAATGTTTAACAATGAAAGAAGACTATACTTGATAGAAGAATAACTGCAAAATATTTTGATTTCAGTGAAACATACCCATACATATTCCGAATCCAACAGCACATGTCGCTAGTAAAGGAAAACTGTCACACCATGGTAATGCAATATTGGTTATCGCCCCTAGACACAATGCTCCAAGGTATAGATGGATACTTCGTACATGGAAAAAATCTACCGTAAATCCCGCCAGAATCCTGACAACGGTATTGGTTACGCCAATGATTGATATCAACATGGCGGCATGATACCGTGGAATACCCTTTGAAACAACCATGTCTGGTATATAAGTCATAGTTATAGACTGTGCTGAAGAAAATGAAAAAAAGTAATGTATTAATTTTGTATATCTCTTTGTTAAACAAAATAATTTTTATTATTAATTTATACCTTGCAATTGTTGTTGTAGAGATGTGGAAAGTTAAATGACGGATCGTTTGAGTAACTATTAATCGGTCCCGACTTTTTGCAAATCATAAACATTCCATTAAATTGAAAGTGAGATTAACAGAAACGTATAAAGTTAAATAATAAGTGACTAATGTTTTGTTTTTTTTTTTGTATCTGATTGCATTATTTACTTCTCCGGAGCGTCCCTGACATCATTATCATTTTGCGAACTTTATTTTGACCAAGTTTTTTTTATCTAATTCGTTTTATTCTAGTTGTAGAGGAACTTATCTCCTGTCCATGAACTATGTTTACTGACATTTATTCGAATACAAATATTTTCGTTGAGCCCGTATCTTAAGCAATATATGAAGAAGAAGAAATGTTCAACGCACGTTTCAGTTTATTTCAGCTAATTACTATCATAAGGTGTCAGACTAGTTAATTATCCAAAGCAGTCACATCATAATTCCTACAATGCCAATATTATATGACGCAAAATTGATCATTATATATAAAAGGTGTCTATGCATACATATATGAATATAAAGTTTTAGATCTACCGTGTAAACTTCATCAGGTAAACACAAGCCCAACACTTTTGAAATAAAAATAAATAAATTGTGCGGGAGCATGAAAACCAAAGAAGGCTTAAAAAGTCAGAACCATACACGGTCAACAGAGCACTCCAGAAATGCATGTACACTCAACAACGGAAAGAGGTTGAGCATTTCTTAAAATCTTGATGACTAAATTTCAACAACGTTATGTATATTGAAATTTGTTTATCAGCTTCATATAAGAATAACGTTATGTATAATAGACGTATTTACACTTGTATGCAAATTTGTATGCCATTACTGAAAGTCAAACAAGCTCCCGAAAAATTTTGCGAACATTATAAACTGATTGTTGCATGACGCCAGAAGGTTATTCGGAGACCGATCTAGTGTCATTCAGAGCAAGTTCAGCTAAATACCCAAAAGTGTAAGTACGAAACAGTTAGGTTTATACTTACAAGTCCACATAACCATGCAACATAACAGAAGAGTAAATCGTAGTTGCCGAAACATCTGTATACAGCTTAGAAACAATGAATCATTTTTTTCTTTTGCCTTTTTATTGTCGTCTTCTAGACCGTTTTCGAACTTAAGTTTGGAGTCGTACGAAGGTAAAAAGTTTATACTTCCGGAGTAAAATACGTCACTGCGTAACCTTGGTGATAGCAAAAAATGATACTCTGTTTTTCTGACATTGGTTGTTTTTATCGAGCTTAAATGTTGTTCACTGAAAAATTGTCTTTTATCAAAATTCTCATTTAAGTTTGTGTCAAGAAACGACTTTAGTTCTCCACCGATCCCTGATGTTGAGTTATAAACTTTATTTGTTGAAACAGATTCTTCGTTCTTGTATCTCAAAGATAACATAGATCGTCTTTCATCGGAATCGGAAACAGAGTTTTCCTCTAAACATTTACAAGTTGAACTATCTATGTTTCGTCTCGTTAATGGTCTGAATAAAGCCCCACATACTACAGCGTTCAGACACAAAGCAGCTATAATTAACAAAGTGTTTCTCCAATCATACATGTCTAATAATAATTGTGTGAGATATGGGTAAACAATCACACCTAAACCACTTCCGCTCATTGCTATACCAGTTGCTATGGCTCTTTTTCGAGTGAAATAGAGTCCAACCGCTACTATTGATGAAAGGAAGAAAAAACATATTCCAATTCCTAAAAATGAAATGTAAAGATTTACAGTTTAGTTTAGACATATATTATTGTTCAAAATGACAAATGGATCAGACACAAGTTTCACAACTTATATATAATAACATTTCTCCAAAACAATAAGAAATATACATAATAAATAATGAACACATCAAATATATTATACTAACAAATAATTTGAGCATAAAGATGTGAAAGCGAAAAGAAACTTGTACATGTTGAAACGAATCAATGAATTTTAATCGAGTGAATCTTTCTTGCGATATAAATAAAACAAACACATCGATTTGTCATTGTGGAATTATTTGATGCGCAATTCTAGTCTTGTGTAAATATAATTTAGATTTACAGTGAACTATGTTGTTTACAGTAGCATGATATTTCAAGTTCTACATTCTACTACACATAACCAAGTAAGGTGCATTATTCAGCTGCGATGAAATATTTGAAGAAAAGGCTTTATGAAAAGAAAAAAAATACTTGGAATGTCTGTCGTATGCTGCAACATTTAAGGCAATATTCGCAAACTCCTCATAAGTTATAAGAATTTCTTGATTTCTGTATTCGTTAACTTTTTAGCCTATGTTTCTCTAATCTTTATATTTTTGGCCCATTATTTTCTATTTTTATATATTATTTTTTTTGGTGTCAATTTTTATGTATTCTATATTTTTTGCCCAATTATTTTCTATTCTGTATACCCCACCCAGACCCTCATATGGTATGACGATTGTAGCTGTCTCGTGGACATTTTCCCCACATCTCCATCTTTATTTTATATACAATTTATATAAGTTCAAAATGTACATATAACTCACCGCAAATAACGCCATATGTAAAAATAAGAATAGTAAGATTTGGTGAGAAAGCTCCCGCCACTGTGCCGAGAAAGGCAATAACGCCTCCAGCTATCGCAACGGTTCTTACTGAATACTTAACAATGAGAAAACTCACAACTGGACCTGTAGAAAACATGAACACTATACATAGATGATTAGATAAATATAGAAATACATTTTTAAGGAATTCACAGTTTTAAAGAATTCAGACATTTTAACAGATAAAACACTTGTAAATGTACACGACCTTTGGTTGTACTTTTTTCAAGGTTACCATTCAAAAAAATGCGCGTCGATCTGCTATTTTATGATGCGTATTCATATTGCTCCGTGCCAATTTTCTGTGTTATATTTTGAGTTTTTTTTACGTTTTTCTGTCATATAAAGCAACAAATAATGCAGAGAAAATGAATATGCAAAGGAGTGCATTTTGGGGTATTTTTTTGTCTATAACTGTTTGTCTTTAGTTTCTATCGTGTTAACAGTCTTCTTTATAATCCATTGCCGCCTTGTTTTGTCTTATTGTTTGTACTATGCAACAATATAAACGATAAACAGAAGTGCATTGTTTCTACATTTACAAGTATAAACAGTCACATGGTATGGAACGCCACAGCTGTCTTATGTGGAACTCTGATATTACTTTATGTTGTTTTATTATTACTTGATGATATTTTGTCTTTACTTAATATGGTTTTGACATTACGTAATGATGTTTTGATATAACTCAATATGGAATAGTCATTACTTAAATAAATGATATTTCGATATTACACGATATGGTTTCGTATTGACTTGATATGGTTTCGTATTGACTTGATATGGCTTTGCCATTACTCAATATGGTTTTGCCATTACTCGATGTGGTTTCATCATTATTTAATGTGGTTGTGTCATTAGTCAATGTGGTTTTAACATTACTTGATGTGAATGTGACTTAACGTTATGTAGTTGTTTCATTACATGATGTGGTTTTGTTATTTCGTAATATGGTTTTAACATTACGTAATGATGTTTCAAAATTTGACGATTTTACACTACATGATGTGTTTGTTTCATTATTTGATGTGGTCCTGTCATTCTTTGATGTGGTTATCCCATTACTTGATGAGGTAAAATCACGTGACCAATTCGGAAAAAAATATGTTCTATTTTTAAACAGATTTCAATATGTCATTTGTTTAATGTGCTTTGGATGGGTATCGCTATCCATTGAGTTAAAATTAAAATTAAAGTTCGAGTGGTTGTTCAGAGTTATTTGGTATGAAAAAGGGAAACGGCAGACAATAATAAGAAAAAAAGTATTAAAAAGTTTACAGTATTTCGGACATAGTTGGGATATCCCCAAACCACTTGGTCTTGTTGTTTTTATACGACCGCAAAAAAATTTTGCGGTCGTATATTGGTATGACGTTGGCGTCGTCGTCCGGCGTCGTCGTCGTCGTCGTTGTCCGAAGACACATTGGTTTTCGCACTCTAACTTTAGTTTAAGTGAATGGATCTCCATGAAATTTTACCATAAGGTGCAATACCACACAAGGAAGGTTGGGATTGATTTTGGGGGTTATGGTACCAACAGTTAAGGAATTAGGGGCCAAAACTAAGCATTTTTGTAACTTCCAGACATAACTTGTGTGTTAGTGTATGGATCTCTCTGGCATTGTACCACAAGGTTCCATATCACAAAGGGAAAGCTGGGATTGATTTTGGGGGTAATTGCCTCCAAATTTTAGGAATTAGGGATCAAAAAGGGACAAAAAACAAGCATTTTTCTAGTTTCATGACAATAACTTCTGTGTAAGTGTATGGATCTTTCTGAAATTGTACTACAAGGTTCCATATCACAAAAGAAAAGCTGGGTTTGAGTTTGGGGGTAATTGCTCTAAACGTTTAGGAATTTGGGGCCAAAAAGGGGAAAAAAACAAGCATTTTTCTAGTTTCCAGACAATAAATTGTGTTCAAGTGTATGGATCTCTCTGAAATTGTAGTGCAAGGTACCATACCACAAAGGGAAGGCTGGGATTGATTTTGGGGGTAATTGCCTCAAAATGTAGGAATTAGGGGCCAAAAAGGGGAAAAACAAGCAATTTTCTAGTTTCAGGACAATAACTTGTGTGTAAGTGTATTGATCTTTATGAAATTGTACTACAAGGTTCCATATCACAAAGGGAAAGCTGGGTTTGAGTTTGGGGGTAATTGCCCTAAACGTTTAGGAATTTGGGACCAAAAAGGGGCCAAAAAACAAGCATTTTTCTAGTTTCCAGACAATAACTTGTGTTCAAGTGTATGGATCTCTCTGAAATTGTACTGCAAGTTACCATACCACAAAGGGAAGACTGGGATTGAGTTTGGGGGTGATGAATCATAAGGGGGTTCAAAATATTTGAGGGGGATTATTTTTCCTTTTTTTTTCTTTAAAATTAGCCATTTTAAATTGGTTATTTCTGATCTATATATAAAAGCAAATAATAATGATATAGTTTGAATAGGTAAATTAAATTTTTTTAAGTTCTTAGACCACATTCATTCTGTGTCAGAAACCTATGCTGTGTCAAATATTTAATCACAATCCAAATTCAGTGCTGTATCGAGCTTGAATGTTGTGTCCATACTTGCCCAAACTGTTCAGGGTTCGATCTCTGCGGTCGTATCAAGCTGCGCCCAGCGGAGCATTTTATTATCTTAAGTTCTCAAACGGAAGCAGTATTTTTGTAATAAATTTGTAAAATATTCCACGGAACCCTGTGTCTCGCCTGATATTGCTGCTGTAAGTGTAAAAGCGTCATGTCGATCGGCTGTACATTTATCTATACATTTATCGTTAAAAACAAAATTAAAAAAGAAATGTTTTTCTGTAGATGTTTTTTCTTGAAATTGAGGAATAACTCCTATACAAGTTTCAAAACACTTCATTGAGGTTTACAAATTTATCATGTCAAAACAGGTTAATTCGGTTTTATTTAACTAAAACAAAACTGTATGGTTTTCAACAGTAAGCAAAACCTATACCCTATAGTAAGCTATAAAAGGTCCCGAAATGGAAAATGTAAAAAACTAGAAACCTAACGATCTATAGATAGATAGATACTCTATTCTCTAAAAACTAATTACAATTTTACAGAGAAACATACAATATAAATACAGATACAATAGTTGAGGTAAACAAATACAGTATGATATTCTAAAAGTATAAAATTATGATGGCATACATGTTTAGTAACATGTATAATGAAAGGTTAAACTCAATAGAAATAAAAAAAAATGGAGATGGAGACGCTGACGCCACTATAGACGACGAAATATAGGTTTGTTGTGTCTCACTGCCGCTACATTGATGTCGCAGGCTCGACACAAATCAAAAGACTTGAACTTTATTGTTAACAAATGAAACACTTCAAATCAACTCACACTAAAGTTACAGGGAAACGGGGGGAGGGGGCTCTGACTTAGCGACAAAGCATAAATACTATAAAATAAGAATTCTCCAATGATCATTTGAATTATATGAATATCAATCTTATATTTGTAATCAATTGAATTCCCTGATCTACCTCGCACTAATTGAAAAATAAACTTTTTGGAATATCTGTTTCACATGTGACGACGGACATGTTCCAGTGGTCGTAACCATAATACTGTCATCTTTTCCTTGAATGTGAACTACCAAATAAAACCAAATCACTGGGTTTGTACTTTCTCGAATAACACGACGGGTGCCTTTCTGGAGCATCCGAGATCACCTCGATGGATTTATATTACCCAGTCATACCGATCTATTGAGTCAGCCAAATGAAACTGTTTTGTATGCCACCGCAACTGAAAGTTGGGGGCATATTATTTTACCCCTGCCCGTCCGTCCGTCCGTCTGTCCGTCCCATTACAGATATATAGTTATTCCGCATACAGTTTGAATCCTAGGAAGTTTTCTCTTTACTGTCTGTTTGTACATATATTGAAGGTGTGCATGTGGTCATGGTTTAATGTTCATTAATATTTGCTCTTTTGGGAGATAGTTGAACTTTTTTTTGTAATTTTTTGGGAAATTTACTTGCATAAGAAGAGCGTTTCCAGATAATTCCTCCTACAGTTTGAATGCTAGGAAGCTTTCACTCTGCTGGCTGTTTGTACAATTGTTAAAGGTGTGCATGTGGTCTAAGTTTTTATTTTTATTATCTTTTGTTCTTTTGGGAGATAATTGATTTTTTTTTTTTTTGTAATTTTTGGGGTATAAGCGGTTAATTTAAATGAGTTGAGTGCGGGGGCATCACTTTGTCTAGTTTACATTTTTTTCTCGTTTTGTGCTGTTACACAACTGTAACAGTCCGATGTAATGTTAGGATTTAGCGCTCACATACATGGTAAACTCCGCCACAGGTCTTTATGTACCTGCCCCAAGTCAGGAGCATGAAGTTCAATTGTTGTCGTTGTATAAATGTGTGTCATTTTTTTTGTAGATTGTTTAAATATAAATAAGACCGTTTGTTTTGTCGTTTGAATTTTTTCACATGGTGCATGGTGGCCTTTTGTAGCTGACTATACGGTGTGTTGAAGGCTGTACGGTTGTCTATATATGATTTCTTACACCCACTGCATTTAAACTCTGGTGGATAGTTGTCTCATTGTCAATCACACCACATCTAACTTTATTTCAACTTCTATGTTGCGTTTTTTATACGGTAACATAGTTTATCTTTTGTACGCATACCCCGGAGCCCTCTTTTCGGAAGCCCGAGCAAAAGTCCTTGTTCCGCGATAATAAATTTAATTACGAACTCATATAAGATAGCTCGAATTTCAACTCAAAATCTTAATCAATCTGAATGAGACTTAAATTCGAATCTAACTCAAACTCAAAAAGTGACTCAAATCTAATGTTGTAACTAGAACTCGACCTTTAAATGTGACTCAAACTCGAAGTCCAACTCGAAACTCAATGCTTACTAAAACTTTAATTCTAATAATGACTTGAATTCGAAATCGAAGACTAACTCAAAGTATAACTCAAACAGTAACCCGAACTTTAATTTGAACTCTAATTCGATGGATGGCCACACTCATCCAAGGCACATACAACAAGGAAATCTATCTAAAAAGAGAACAGGTTTTTCCGAATTGGTCACATGATTTTACCTCATTAAGTAATGGGATAACCACATCAAAGAATGACAGGACCACATTAAATAATGAAACAAACACATCATGTAGTGTAAAATCGTCAAATTTTGAAACATCATTACGTAATGTTAAAACCATATAAATAATAGGCAGATCATCATTACAAAATAACAAAACCACATCATGCAATGAAACAACTACATAACGTTAAGTCACATTCACATCAAGTAATGTTAAAACCACATTGACTAATGACACAACCACATTAAATAATGGTGAAACCAGATCGAGTAATGACAAAACCATATTGAGTAATTACAAAACTATATCAAATCAATACGAAACCATATCGTGTAATATCGAAATATCATTAAGTAATGACTATTCCATATTAAGTTATATCAAAACATCATAACGTAATGTCAAAACCATATTGAGTAAAGACAAAATATCATCAAGTAATAATAAAACAACATAAAGTAATATCAGAGTTCCACATAAGATAGCTGTGGCGTTCCATAACATGGAGTCTTTTTAAAATTATTTACACTAAAGGTTATAATTTGGTACGCTAGATGCGCGTTTCGTCTACATAAAACATCAGTAGCGCGCGAATCAAAAAAGTGGAAATCAAATACGAATTTCAGGACAATTTGAACACGAAAATTCCAGAAAGTTGTGCCAAGTACAACTATGGCAATCTATTCCTGGGGTAGAAAAACCAATGGTAAGTTTCTGTAAGATTAATAAGCCATTCTATGTAAAATTGCAAAATTGAAATTCTAAATTTTAGAAGATTTCAAAAAGGGCAAAAATGATTTACAAAATTCATCATTGATGTTTTAATCTTTCTTCATGAAGTATTTGAATTAAGGAATATATTTTTCCGAAAACGTACGACTGAATTTCCCAATTTATCTTAGAAGTACTTTTAATTCTCTTTTTGTTTTCTCTTCGAAATTAATGTCGGTTACCCTTCTAGAGAACACTTTCAACTCCGGCTTGAAGTGTAATTCAGTCTGTTCAAATATTAGTTTTCTATCACATGTTTAATGTATGCTTTTTATAAGAGATGATATTTGTATATGTCTTCTTTGAGACGGCTCGGAATTTTTGTTATTGAATTTCATTTGATATTCACGCCATCTTGAAATTTCTTCTTGGTTTTGATTGGTTGCCGTTAATGTGCCTACAGTTCGATTGGCTAGAATTAGATATACATGGAAGTTTGGAACACGATATAAAATTACAGTATGGGTATTCGAGATCCGATCAACGATTATTGCTTCATGTTGACGTTATTTATGACAATGTGAAGCACTCCGTACCTTTTTAGAAGGTTAAACTTGTTAATGTGCTATCTGATTAGACTTATACTCACCCATCATCATGCTTAGTCCAAGTTGAGATGAGCTCACCCATGCTGTAGCTGCTTTTGTTTCACCAAAATATTTTAAAAATGCCATCATCTGCACTCCCGATGAAAACATAGTTCCATCGGCAATAAAATTGGCAAAAAATGTTCCAATACAAACAATCCATCCCCATCCTCCATCAGGGGCTAAATCTGTATTGTCTTTTTTATTTCTAGTGCCAATTTTTGCCATTCGTATTACTTTGTTAAATCCATATTATGTCCAAACTAAATGAAAAATAGAAGTATATCAGCGACCTTATTGTACTTTGTACGCGATACATACTTATATATTATAGACTCCGGACTTGAGACATAACTAATACATACTTTCTACTTAACGGATGTATCGAGCGTATGATACACAATGAATATGGTTCAAATTGGATTATCCTTCGTTTATCAGAAAAAAATTATAGTAAATGCATTATATGGTGGATTTGTGTTTAATGGCTAGTGGCAAATATTACATGTAGATTAGTACGAGAATATGTTAATGCGATATGAATGGGACTCCTGCGTTGTACTAGATAGACTCGCTGAACCGACTTTAACGTACTGGTACCAAATAAAAGTCAACAGGAGGACATTCATCATTTCATGACATCATATTTCGACTCCGAACCGACCGAAACTAGTCTTTGCTCTTACTCTTAAATACAGCGGGCTTAGCGGAGAAGAGGACATATCAAATTTCAAATCTTTTGAATTACCCGACCGTAGATCGAACCCATGACCTCACGCACTCGAAGCGAGCATGCTACCATGATACGGTTCATTATATGAATATGAGGTAGGATAGGTACGAAAGTAAAATATAAGTTATATTGCAAACGTTCTGAAAATTGATATAGCTTATACTTTACTGAAGTGTCGGACCTATCAGATATACACATAATGCATTCGTAAAATGCGAGGAAACATATCTTACATTTGCATGGGTTACAGCTGTTTATTTTGATATGGTTTTCTTGTAAATTGGAATTAATCCAGTTTTAACTATAATGTTCCATTGTCCGTTAAAAATGCATTATACGTCCAATACTTACATATATGAGTTATGTCCATTCTCCTCTGTAAGTCTGTAGGACAGAACGCAACATTACTTTATATAGGTATGTCATACGTATGTGATATTTAAAATGCATTTTTAATGGCAGAATCAACTCTTAAACCATTCAAATGGTCTTCCTTTAACACAAAAAATGACTGTATACGTCACCTAATGTATAAGTATTGTTATTTAAGAATTCAGTAGTAGTAAGAAGTTCCGTATATTCATAAACTGTTGAGGTAGATGAACTTTTGTACAAAAGGTCAGTTATTTATGATTTGCAAAAATTGCAAATGAGGACATTAAAATGTAGTTTAATTCAGTTTAAATTATATATTTATGATAAAATGTGCACCAATAAATGAAGGAATATACAGATAAATAGAGGCATGAAATAAACAAAATGAAATAAAGATGACCTGCAAATATATGTTTCTCTTTGAATGATAAACACACGATTTACCACCAGAAACTTTTGAAAAGTCAAATAACATTTCATCCAGGTTACGTACACAAGTTCTGTGAGTGTATACAGTTTAAAATATAATGGACGGCTTTATCTTTTCTGCAACTTTACTGTTTGTCCTTGAGCTTATTTGTGGCTACTTTAATTCAATAGTATTTCATACTACAACTATTAAGTCATGAACATAACTAAAAATTATAAAAATTTGACAATATATAGAATAAAAAATTGAAGGGAATGAAATAAAAAAAGCAAAAATGCATGAAAAAAAACAGTTAAAAAGTATCGGTCATAAATGAACAAAAAAAAAATAGAAAATGGAGATAATATAAGATAAAGATAGTTAAAAATTAGTGAAATCATGTATATGTCAAAACCAGCTACACACTCTGAAGTTTCAACTTTGTAACTCGGGACAATAGACTATCTTGTCTAAATTCTTGTAGTTTCAAATAGCATGTTAAATATGCCACTGGCAGTTAAGCTAAGTATTGTGGAAGGTCGAACGTTATAACTTAACCTGTTCAGATCATTTATAATTTGTTGGAAATTGCGCAGTAGAATTAAGCGTTTTCTTACCTGGTCAAAGTGATGAGATGAAAGAACAATAAATGATAAATCTTCGACACCATTTGCCGGCAACAGTTATGAAGATTGTACTTACTGTAAATTTATTAAAACGTTTATACTCTATCATGTACTGTATTCGTGTTAAGTCGGATTACATTTGTTGACTAACACAGTTGGATGAGAATATAGCTGAAAGATAGTGGAAACCTAAAATGAGGAAAAAAAATGTTAATTTGTCGGTATGCGATCACAGTTTTTATGACCCCAATCTGACCTCGATGATAATAGATATTCTGAAATGAATTATGATTTTATATATTGACGATGCGCTTACTTAGCTTTTGATATTAAATCATTTTGTTCTAATATCTACAAACGAAATCCAAAAAATTACATTAACAATTCATAGATAGTTGATTCAAAATTTCTTTATATCCCAAAATAATAAATTTGAATTAATCAAATAATATGGTATAAAATGTAAACAAATGTTTCTCATTTGAATTGTGTTACATTTGTCATTGTCGGGGCCTTTTATAGCTGACTATGATCTATGGGTTTTGCTCATTGTTGAAGACCATACGGTGACTTTAAGCTGTTAACTTCTATGTCATTTGGTCTCTGGTGGAGAGTTGTCTCATTGGCAATTAAACCACATCTTCTTATTTTTATATTTGCACCCAAATCAGAATCCATTTACATGCATATGTATTTTTAAAGGATTCAGTATTATTTATTGGTGACAATTCTGACAACATCAAAAAATAGAAAACGCGCGAGTTTCTGGGATGCCAAAAAACACTGGTATTTGTATAAGCCTGTCTCTCCCCAGAATACGGGAATGATTTCTAAGAACACTTTCCTTGCTATGATTTTCCTTTCGGGTGTTATTTTTTAAATAAGATAATATTCTCTTTCCAGATTTGCCATTTTCTTCTATCTCATTTTTTTTTGTCTCGGATTTACTTTTTTTTTACGCTTATTACACAAAAATTATAGGAGCTTATTGTGGAATTATTACTTCATCCAAACGTTATGTAACACCCAGTTTCTTTGGTATATGAAGCATCGTTATAAGCAATATAGAAATAAAGAGATGTGGTATGATTGCCATTGAGAAATCTATCAAAAAGAGACCAAAGGACGAAGATTGAAAAATAACTCTTAGGTCACCGCACGGTCTACCAATAACGAGCAAACACTTACCGTATATCATGTTAGCTATTAGAAGGCCTGACATGAAAAATGTGTGAAAATTCATGAGAAAATCTACTACCTGACTTTGCTAAATACAGTAAACGAAGAAAAAATATGGTAGCAACAAAAGTCTTTAAGACAACCACTGATCATTAGTTACAGGCACATATATATATAATAAATATTGATTTGCTATTTCAAAAAAGTTATACTATTGCGTTTGAATTAGATATCATGTCTTTTGGAATGACTATTAATTTGCAACTTTATAACACGTAAAAGTCTTATTAAATTGTATCTTAATCTTTTATTTTTACATTTCTATCTGGTTTTTTTCTTCTTCTTCAGGTCAGCATTGTAATACAAGGGTTTTTTTTCTTATACGATATGAAAACTATTTCCAAGTACAGTGGCCGATATTACAGAATATAAGAAGGCATTATTTTATTATCATCAGATAAGGTAATTTGGTCTTTGTGAGCATTCTTCGATATCATAAAGTAATGTTTTTGTTTATAAATAAATGGAGATGCTGTGCGTGTACTGATTTTGTGTCATGGATGGAAACCTTATATCCTTTGTTTTTCTATTATAAAACAACAAAGGATATCTACAGGGTCACAAATGATAGTCTTTACCTGCAGACAAGTGTCTATACAAAAATTGTCATTAAAATAAACCAATATATATATATATCAAAAGACAAATCAAAAATTAAATAACCATAACTAAGGTGTGGGACAATGTTTATCACAAGAACCAACCAATAGCTAAAACAAACCAGTAAGAAATATTAGTACTTTATGATCAATTTTCATTATTTTACTTCTAATTTTATTATTAATAATTCATTTATTTATTTATTCTATGAAGTGTAAGAATTTATCATATATTATAAACGTTAACATGTAATATATATGATTCCTTTTTATAATGAAAACAAAATAGTGCAAATAAACTCCTATATTAAAGCATCATGTCTCTTTCCAAGACTCTACATGTTAATATATTAATTAAAGGTTAATACTTACAAAGATAACCCACCGACTGTTTTGGTATATGATTCTCAAGCAGGTCTTAACTCCTTATTTATATATCAAAGTATATGTCACATGTCTAGGAGACTTTAAAACCATCTTTTAGCCTTGTAGACCAGGAAGCTTATTCACAACGCATCCGTTAACTAACGGATTTTTTTTTAATTCAAAATAGAATTAAAAGTGCATATTATTGAATTGTGGGAGAGAGTTTTTGCTTATTTTAATGCATGCATTTAGGAGTTCAGTTAGCATGCTTATTGCATGTAGTTTCTAGTTTTATCAGGTTTAATACTGCATGTAAACTAAATCTCCTTGTGTATACATATACAAACAGGGGTGGGCTTCTGTAAAGATCATTTTAAAAGAGAATAGTTGTTTTTAAATTCATATAAACAGAAAAGTGCAAAATTATAAATACAAATACTATCATAGCTTGATGATTAGAGAGAATTTTACATCGATCTATTATATAACATTTCGTCATTAAAGAGTGCATTCAACAAACATTATGATATGATTATATAATAAAAGTACAGTAGCATACACAATAATGTTGATATCTATTGATGGTTGACCACCGCTGTTATCGTGGCTTGATAGCGTGCTTGCCTCACGTGTATGTTCGTGGGTTCGATCCTCGGTCGGGTCAAAACAAAGACTTTAAACGAGCATGGGTTTTGCAAAATTACAAAACTTGTCAATGAACATTTGTCAAACTTATGATATGTTAAGCGCTTTCTGTTATAACTTTGGATTTTTGTCGACATTAGAAGAATATAACAAGCATGGTACTGTCCCAAACCTACGGATGAGCGTTCCTATCAAACAGTAATATATATATAAGTCTAAATTGAAAACAACGTTCAAACCTATGATTGCGTTGGAAAAAACCGCAATTTTTATACGTGTGCAAGCAAAACAAATTTCTTGGTAGAGGGGTCTAAATACAGCACAAACAACATTTTCCAAAAGACCAAAAAAGTGAAAAAGTATATTTTGGAAAAACGCATTTGACTAGCAGGTCGAACAACGGATGTTCTTATACCCTGCTGACTGCCATTGGCGATGCCAAATAAACAGATCACCAGATGTAACAAAATGGATCTTGACTATTAATTTAATACCAAACAGAAAACAATAAACTTGCGGAAAAGATGGTATACCGCAACCAAAAGGCGCAAAAATTAGTACACCATATCCGGATTTCGACAATTAATGTCTCTTCAATGATATAGCTTAAGTTATTGTTTGGCTCAATAAGCAAGATTTATTGACAAACCAAGTTTATTAAGGATTTAAAGAGCATTGAAAACCAAAATGTCATATAGGTGTGTCAAATCTAGCAAACGCCGTTTATGCCTGGTGGTGTTTTGAATGATTTAAACATGTTTTTAACAGTTTTACAGAAAATGATCGCATCAATCTTTCATGGAGCGCCTAAAACAAAGAATTATTTAAATTTGAAATCGAAATATAAGCAAGCCTTGTAACGTCTATTATTTTCCACCGAAGAAGGTTGACTCGGTTATAGATAATGGTTACCTGGACTTCTCTCGCAAGACGCATGCCGCGTTGTTCTTTTGAATGTGTTATATGTATAAATATGCTGTCACGTCTTTTTTTAATGAATACGGTGTTTCGAGTTCTAGGTGAGTGCCACAAACGATGACGCGATTTAACGAGCATGTACATGATACAAATCATCATATATCACTTATTTTTGATATTTCATGTAAAAAAAAATCCTACTATCAATTCCAATTTAATTCTTAGTTCTGAACATTACAAGAAAATGTATACGATAAAATGCATGTAGTACATGCAACTCCCATTCATCACTGGGGTATTCGGTATTGTGTCACCTAGGTATTTGATAGGAATACTACGGCTGCACTGGCAGTACTGACGAAGTTTTCATATCCGAAAGCTAGGTGACCGAATTCCATGGTTATATATATTTTCATGTATGTGTAATGATATAATCAGCTGAAATCAAAATCTCTAGTGTAACACATAACAATCTGTCATTCAATAGACGGCTTACCATATCGGTATCCTTATTTCAGGACACAAATGAGATGATAATGATGGATGAATGTTTGGCGTCCAGTGGCAAATTAGGAACATATTCAGGACTTGTATTTGGTTCATCCACATTATATTTTTATATTAATTATTATAATTATTTATCCTTAATATTGCAACTATCATTTTTTATGTCTTCTTTTCCTTTTTCAACATGATTATGCCTTATAGCAGAATCTTTCCTTTTAATTAATTATTCTGAATTTTCTTCAAATGTTAGTCTTAAGATATAACGTAAATACTAACAAAGTGGTTACAATACCCTTTCGAAATTAGAGATATGATAGTGCATCAGGTGCCCCGGTAAAATTTTGAGTTCGCCTATCATCTCCGAATTCTATACAATTGTATTGCATTTTCTGATAGACAATAATTATTCACAAAATAAAACACATGTCAAAATAGTGTAACGGACATACAGGTCAAGAAAAAAAGAATTTAATACATTTCACCAGTTATTCTTTTATTTTAGAAGGTCACAAGTTGATAAAAGGGGAAACTAATTTAATTCAAATTTAACGATCTATATTAAAAGGGGACAGAAAACCCTTTATTCCTGGAAAACCCCCTTTTATTTGAGTATCGTAAATATCTACAATATAATTTTGTACTTTTGAAGCCTCATCTGCATAACAATTTTGTTCTAATTGTGGTTATATATCAAGTGTTTCCACAAATATATTGTTAAAAATAGATCTGAACTACACTTGAGGATTCATATGTAGTCCGGAAGTTTTCTTTATTATCGCTTACTGGACACTGGGTCAATTATAGCTGACAAGTTTCTGTTTAAACATATTACACACACATGCATAGATAAACTTTTGTTGATAAGGGTTTATCTTGATTAATGGCTTTATATAGAAGTCTTGTTTTAAAAGATTT